TGTCGGGAAGAGGGTGGCTGCAGCAGCGCGGCGGGCTGACTGCCCTTGTCCTTGTTCCTGTGCCTGCAGCATCGATACATCTGCCACAGAGCAGAGGAAATAATCTTATGCGTGGTCCCCTGGGACCGGGAACGGGATATAACCTCCTGCCGCTGGAACAGCTCAAAGCTTTGAATGACCTCCTGGGGCTGTTACGGGCTCATTTGCCCAGCTGTAATGAAATCTGAGTCCGTGACTATTATGGGTATCTGTCTAGCACAGCCATCTCTTTCCAGTCCCACTGTTCTGCTGGGAGTAAAGGGTAGGCTTGAGTCAAGCTAAAAGCTGTGGGGGGGTGCGGGGGGTGCGCCCGTGCAAATGTGACCGACGTGGTGTGGTTTGATCTCCCAAGTCACTGATGAAATCAGGACAGAACCATAAGGAGCCAAATTTTCCCCTCATGGGTAAGGCATGTAGCATGCACACCTTGCTGACCCTTTCCGCTTGCGTCCCTGAGAACGACGGCATTGCTACGGGACGGGAGAGCCAGGACTACCAGCGCGACTCATTTTTTGTAGGGCAGACCCTTCATACAATTCTCTCCTCAACACCTCCTGTTAAGCAGCTACATCAGCACTTTCCTATATAGGGCATGTATAGGATCTCTCCGTATGGAGCTGGGGACCCCCGGTCCCGCGCGAAGTCGCTCGCTTCCAGCCCCAGGGACTTGCTGTGGATGATGTCAATGTGAAGCACCCCTCAGTCTGTTTCTGCCATTTGCTAGGTGTTTACATAGCCAAAACCCTATCTTTCAAAAGATTTTCTTGATTATAAAGCCGTCAGAAGTGGCCGAAGGACCGAAGGATCCAAAGCCAACTTTGTTTTCTAATTGTCGTCTTTGAGCAACTGCTGATCAGCTGATTTGGACCAAGTGCATACAACAGGCTCTTTTAAGCTTTTTTTTTTTTTTTAATTAGCCTGGGAAAACGTCCAGCTCATTTTTCCATGTCAGCTTGCTAATCCTGTCCCATATTGTGCCGAACCCGAGCTCTGGATGAGTCGGCAGGTGCAGAAATGTGTTGCTGGGGGAGTGACACAAGGCTGTGGGACCATGACTTGCAACGGCAAAACCCCTTCTGGCCCTCATCACCTCGCAAGCGTTGATGGGGCTTTGCTGCTGACCTCAGTGTGGCAGAAGGAAAGCATGTAGTTGGGTCATGCACTGGACATATGCCAACTAGGGAGCAACCTCCAAGTCTCCATTACAAAGCACATCATATATTTCCTCATGGATTCACTCCACATTTTCCCAGATGTTAAATAAATCCCCAAAGCCAGCTGAATTCCAATTCAAGCGATGTGAAAAAAAAAAAAAAAAAGATCAAACTTCCTTAAATATATATCTGATTCTATGAAAAATAAAGCAAAACAATAATCAGTCTCCAGCCGCTGTAGAAAACACTCATTTTGCAGTTAGAGGTGGGAGAGACCTAGCGCATTGCTCAGTCCATCTCCCAACCTTTTTACATTGGTAGCGATTAAAACACTGGAGAGCCTGGGAACGCAACAAGAACAAATAAATCAGAAGAGTCCCACAGACCTGAACAATAAATTACTATACAGCATTACAGGGATGTCTCTATTTCCAAATATTTATATTGCAGCCTCCAGAGCGCAGTGTGGCAGGGTCCAAGTCACACCCCGGCCCTACAGGAGCCTAGGCGCATGTCTGACTTCCAGCACCGTGAATAATCCTTCCGCTTAAATTTAAGCACCTGCTTAAGTCTTTACGGGATGCATAGATGCAGGAACACAGAGTGAGAGATGCCCAGACACAAAGTGGCCAACCTCAAACCTTAGCTATTCCTCAACGAACCCCAAAACCAGTGTGTGGTACTGAAAGATCTCCCCCACGTTTCGTATTAGCGCACAGCACAACCACAGCAATCCACCCCTCCTTTGCACCTTCCCTTCCGCCCACCCTTCCCTCTGCCCTCATGTCCCAGGGAAGACCCATCCCACACAATGGCCACCTGTCCCCGTTACACCCACCCTGGCCCGTTTTGCCCCGTTCGCTCTCTAAGCGATCCTGGGCGGTATGGTTGCTTTTTTGCTGCCTACACCTTTGTACAGAGCAGGTGAACTTTTTGACATCAGAGGTTCAGCTCGAGCTCAGGCTGAAGGCAATAGTGACAGTTTTGGATGGTACAATTCAGCAGTTTCCTACTACGAAGCCTAGGAGTTGATTTGCAGCCTCCAGCTTGGGTTGTTCAAGCCAAGCCAAGCAGCTTGTCTACCCAAATGATGCTCTCGCAAGGAAGTGCTGCATTTTGCTATGGTGACATTGCACAGGGGACAGCGGCAGCTTCCGGCAGGGAGTGGGTCTTGCTCAGAAGAGGAAGGCAGGAGCCGTGGGAAGGCTACAGACATCATGCGCGTCAAAAGGAAACAAAGAAGCAAGCAGGGCTTAATCACCCCGTGAAGTTGTGTCTTCAGAGCAAGTTGAACAAGGAATATGACATAGCTGTATTGATATTTATATGATATTGTGGAGTTTCTAAGTGTGCGTATTGGCAGCGTCGTTTTAATTTATAATTGGTGCGCTTAGCTAGAGCTGCCACTGAGAAACCTTCTCTTCTCCCTTCCACCTCTTTCAGGCTTCTTTTGACTTTGGCTAGGATGGATGCGTATCAATGCTGAGGTTTTCAAGCTTGTTTCTTAGTCCTTACAGCCCACAGCACATGCCCCAGCTGAGAGCATCTGAGCAAGCGATTTGATAGATGAACTGGGCAGGAGCTCTCAGAGTGATAGTTTCACTCTTGCTGGTATTCAGCATCAGCCAGTAAGTTTTGCAAGTCCTCAAGCTCAACTGTGCACCTGCAGACCTACTTCTATATGCA